AGAGAGAGAGAGGGAAGGCGAGCTCGGCGAGGACGATGTGGGAAAAGAGGAAGCTAATCAGAAGCGGAAGTACGCTCTGGCGAGGCCCGAGGCCTTGAGAAGGCATAGTCGGCCGAGTGGCTTTTAGCTCTCTTAATTGCAACTTCATTTAACGCACCGTTCGGCCAATCCAAACCTCGCATGCCGAGAATAGCACGTCTTAATAAGCATCTTATCGCGTACGCGAAGAAGAAACGCCTGAGAAGGGAACGGACGAACCGTGGAAGGTGGAAAAGTATGAAGCGAAAATATGAAGCACGAAGAAAAGTGCATTGTCTTCCTTCAAGATGAATTGACGCAATTCGCGCTGCAAGTAGGATATCATTTTTCCTTAGAATTTTATTTTTTTCTTCCCTATCTTATATATTTGTTGAATGTCACGTTTTATTCCACAATTTAGTAAGAAAAATGCAGCTTTAACCATTATTTTAACACTGTATTCATCTGCGACATCTGTATAATCTTAAGAGATTAATGCCCGTTTTTAATGCCCAATGAAAATTAACTTTAATCTCGGCCTAATTTACCCTTCATTTTTTCTAATTCTTAGAACTAGAAAAAAAATGAAGAGTTACTTGAAGCGAGATTAAAATTAAACATTGAAACGGGCATTAATTACGGGAATTAATTTTAATCGTAACTGTCTAAAGAAAGGATTGCACAAGCGTTACGAACATTTGTTTTGGAAATGCGAAAAATGATACTGACATCGATAAGAGGTTTACGAATATCCTATTAACACTTGGTTATTTGGATTGCACTTATCTCGTGATATCCACGTTAATGACATCAAGCAACGATAATAGAATTCTCAATAAAATCATTGATAAACGCTACGATAACAAATCCACGTGCATTCCGTTTATTTGCGAATATTTTAAAAATAGCATTTTCCTTAAAAATGAGTGGAAACTTCATTAATGATTAAATTTGTATTTGATCCAACAGTTTGTTCGTCATTAACAGGAATAATTTAACTTTGCGAATATCATTCATTTCATGGTTTATTCTAATTTTTTTCCATATCGATTGATGATATCAATACGTATCAGATGCGCTTTACATCGCGTGCGATAATATCACAGATTACAAAATCATTATCTTATTAATTAATTGCAATAATCTTGTAACGTACTTCTACCTTGCTACCGATTACTTAACAATTGAAAATATTTTTGAAAAATATTAATTAAAGTGATCAATAATAATTGATCACTTTAAATTAAATTCTATAATAAATTGAAAAATAATTGGCGAGATTCAGTGCTGACATAACATTCAAATGTAAACAATTATTTTATAATTATAAAAAGGAGAGAGTTTTAATCGGACAATACTGTTTGAAAGAATTTTTTCCTATCGAAATGTTACGTGTAACATTTGACGCGTTCGCAATATTTTCCTTCTTCAATTGGCAAACGCAAAAGGGTATTAATTATTCATAATTGTCTGGCACAGAGATACTCTTCGTTCATCTTTTTCTCATGGACGCACAACGTGGTAATTGCACGTCGGGTTGGACATCTCTGCAAAGCGGCTTCAGCAAATTTAAGGAGAGTAACGATGGAATGTATTCGGAGACATAAATAATTATCGTTAAATGTTTGCGGTCACACGTTAAATGATTTGGCCATAAATCTCTGTTGCGAATTAGGTTCTCGATGTATAGTTTAATGACATCGAACGGTTGACATAGTCAAATTTATTCGCGCAGACGGTAGTGCGAATGACTCCGTAGCAAGCTATCGCTAATTAACGTGAGGAAACTCATTTGCGATTTATGTTAAACACCTTTAAGCATTAAAACTTATCAGCTGCAACATCGGTTTTACTCAGAAAAATTAGCTTTTTTCTTTGAATATATAACATAATATATGTTTTACACTTCATTTAAAAGATTAAAGAATTTCATTTCAAAATTTAAAAATCTTTTGTTACTTAAAAATTTTTTGCTTCAGATAATATATATATCAGAAGGATAAAGACATAATTATATAATTATCCCTGGTTATTTATTCTGCCAATAGCCTTGCTCGCTGATGATGGCTCGGAATGAAGCCAAAATGTTTAAATTCTAGAATAATTTAAAGAAGAAAAGAATTAATTAATATTACCACGCTTGATTCTCATTGCCCGTTTATTTTTCCTTATTTTTGATTTACAATTATATAATTACATGAATTATGTAGAAAAGAAATAAAATAGAGAGAATTCCCAGTAGAGGTAATAATCCAGAATAATAATGAAGGTAAAAGTAGAAAAATATATAATAAGGGATAAACATTTGAGTCAAAATGCTATTTCTTTATTTTTAGTCAAAAAGAATTTGGATAATAAAAATTAAGCAAATTTTTTCATAGTGATGTTGGATTTGGGTAAACGAAATTTTCACGCGTAACTTAGAAAAAGGAGTACTTGCATCAGCTGCTGCTTACCAAAGAAACTTTCTCGCGGCGCGATTATAGTCGTATCCAGAAAAGAGTGACGCGCGCGTGATGTGGCGCGAGCAAAAAATCGCGGGAACACGGAATTTCGACTGATTCACCTTTCGGGGCTCCGAGATAGTGATTTCGTTGTTATATTCGCGATATATACTCGCGTCGATGCACACTCTGTGCAGCTCGTGGACTATGTAAGAACGCGCCGTGCGAGCTCTCGTCCGCGAGATAATGGCAAGATGAATGCGAAATGGCGAACGCGGAGGCACCTTTCGATACGCGACCTTGACAAGAGATCGCTTTTTCTCTCTGATTCGTCATTCCACGCTATTGATGACCACACTGGATGCTGCGAGAGGAGCGGCCCGTCGTTTCTTTTTTTTTTCCTCTTCTCCTTTTTGTCTTTTTCTTTTGAAATGGTTACACAACAATCGTCCATATAGCGACCGTGGTGCGCCGCTGAACTTGAATTATTATATGCTCAAAAGAAGTTTTCCTGCCTTCCCGCGTCTCCTACGTCTCTTGCAAGAGAGTTTACAGCTACCTATTACGACGTACAACCTATTAATGTATTTTATTTGCTGCAGGAACGATTTCACTCGTTTCCTATTTTTCCTGCTTCCGAGACAATTTTAAAATAATCGCAACGGGGTCGAAATGCAGTCAAGTATTTTCAAAATTTCCATACGTATGAATCATCGGCGATAAAAGCGTCGATATAGCATGTTTGTTCACCAAACATGTATTTGACGTAAACACATTTATTAGTAAAGTGCCTTTAAAAAAATACACATGAAGTATCAAAAACAAATATTAATAAAAAAATTTTTCGCGGCTCTACTAATGTAATTGAATAATCCTCGTGTCTTTTTATCGAATTGCGCAACTGGAAAGATTCTCTACGATTACGCTCATTATATTTCACTGACGGCAAAAAGTTTCTCCGCGAGATATTAAAAATAAAATAAACATATATATATATATATATATTTAATTAAACAATAAAGATAGCTGTTGGTGTGATAAGCAATAAAAATTCACGCTTCGTCGGCTTGGTGTAGTTACTGTTTAATGAGTTTAGTTACATTATATGTTACATATATATATTCCTGTGCGTTATATAATTTAGCGTGGTCTCTCAAACAGAAACTGGAACAGTTTTTTAGGCGGCTATAACTATGTCATTTGCGTTTCGTGGTTCCGCTGATCATATTTTCCCATTGTCAGCGCTGTTCGCTGCGATCTATCTACCTGTCTCTCGTTACACGTTAGGCCTGGCCGTCGTTTTTACTACCAATTATGTTGCCGCATTAATTTGCACCGCCTCTTGCATCCAATCGCATGGAATATCAGTTAACAACCGCGACAATTGCCTCATTATCGCTAGCGGTTTCACCGTTTCATTTAGATACAAAATGAGCCTTGATAAGTGAAATAATTAGGATTAGGTAGTACTACGCTGGGTCAAGTAATGTACAAACGAAAATTCATGTCCATGAATAACGAAAAATGCAAGGAGATACTGAAGAATCGTCGCGTTCTTGCGCGATCATCGTCACAGATCAATACCTGTATCTTTTCACTTTATCGTATCATATCCGTAAAAGTGACTGCAAACATTTTCCAACACTTATGTCAACATTACATCATCGATCATCCTTAACCCTTGCTTGAACGCGCCGAACTAGCACCGCAAGAGAACAACTCCATCGAAAGTACGAAGCGATATAGAAAGATAGAGTGGAAGTAATTTTAATTCGCTTTATCGTAACGCGATTTATTCTTAATTATACACCTCCTGTTTTGTCTCATTTTATTAATCTCTATACTGATGTTGGAATATTATGCATCAACAATTGTATAGAAAGGAATAGAAATTGTTTTGTTTGCGTAAACAATTTTGGAGTAATGTGTCTCTCTATAGAGTTCCACATACCAGGACGACATATTCGCTGTCGTTCGATTGAACGTGGTAAAATTAACACATTTATTCTTTGCCACAATTATAGTCAGCAAGTCATAACTGGCGTGAAAAACAAACTTATAGGCTTTTTATCTGCGCTTATCGGCAAGCATTTATAGCACCTGTCGATTATTCATGCCAGGTTTGGCCGCCAGCATAAACGTAGAATATATCACTGAGAAACAAACGTGTCGTATGTTGCATGTGGCAATGAACGAGTTAATCTCTAAATCACCTTTTGCAGTAGACTACTGATTTACCGGTTGCAATCAAGGCGATCGCGTAATTAATTAGCAATTGAGAAAGAGATGCGTCAGTCATTTCGGTCTCCGCGAGAACAGAAATTTCCGGGAAGAAAGGACGTAACATAATCGAATTGAAATAACTTTTAAAGTACTTTCTAAAACGTTCAGAGTAAATGTCACGCTGAAGAGTGTCATCTCACTTTTAAAGATTGAAAATGGAATCATTCTATTTCAAGACTGGCTCAATTTTCATTCTTTAGGGTGAAATTCCACTCCAAAGAATTTCGAGAGGACAGTCGTATTCATTTTTCTCACCTTGTGCTTTTTCTACTACTGCATTCGCTGCCTAATATGCGATCGGTATCCAGGGTGAGCAACCAGACGTAGTATGTATCCCACGGGATTATCTCGTCGAGTCACGTGAAAAACATTCTCTTTGTGAGCCGGCGACGACCAGCCGAGATCCCGTGACATCGGCGACGTGGACGACGGTGCGAGCACGTGACGTACATTGATATTTCGCGGTATGGATCACAATCACTAGACACGAGAGAAACAGATCAGTATAGCGGTAACGCCGAACGAAAGAAACGGGCATGAGGGGCACGCTCGCGGCGAACTCAAGATAATACCCGGCACTTTGTATAATCACTTTACATTCGTAGACGCGTTCCTTGCGCAACTGCACAATGGTCTCAACGGAAAGGAACGAAAATCGGCGGCGATCGATCGAAAACAGGAAGATGCACTGTCTTCGAGGATGTCGTCGTTGATTGTTGTTCGCAATCAACCGTTTTTCACGATCTTCCTTGTCATCGCGTTTCGTCTCGCTGCTTTTCTGTTCGCGCTCGCTTGCGCGATGTCACACACGTGGTTTTGTGCTCGCAGCGCACGCACGCACGCACGCACGCACGCAACGCAAGTATTGTGCACGCACACTACGTAACACAATCCGCTTCCTCGATTTAGATCATCTAAACTCGACTCGCGGAAATTCGCCGTGGAGAGAGAGATTCGTCAGCTCGGAACGGAACGATCCTTGACGACGTCCGCGACGATGACGGTAAAGGGCGACGACGACGATGACGATGATGACGGAGAACTTTTTTTTTTCTCTCCAACGGGGTCTGCTCCGTTGACTGCCCAGGGTCAACCGGCTGGCTCTGCGCGGCACTTTTACCCGTTGGGTACTCTCAAGGACTCGGAGGTGGCTCCTATTCCTTTCTCTTATCCTTTCGCGCGCGCCTTTTTTATCCCGCTAACCTTTTTAAACGCACTTTTAATTCCGCTCGGCCGCGTGTCCCCAGTGAACGCCGCCGCAGAGTGGTTCCCCGTGTTCAGAGTACGCTCTTTCGTCGCGGATTATCAAATTTCTCACGTCTCCTTCGTAAATTCAACGTCGTCGTCGTGCAGCGCGACGCACCGTGACGATTGGCAAAAGAACGGCGGGAGAACGGAAAGCGAGTAGATCTCGCCACATCCGGATCGTCTTTCAGACTCGTCCTTCGCTATCGCGGTCTGTCCTCCGCCTCTTTCTTCTCGTTCCGCGACAGCGAGCCTTCTCTCGGCTCGCTCGTCGATGTCTTCCTTGTCCTCGTCGTCGAACCACGCGACGGTCGCGAGGACTCTTGTCCTCCGCGCGGCGGCGAGAAATCCGCGTCCTCCTCCTGCGGTTTTCGCGCACACGGTTGTCGTATCGCGGTCTGTTCCTCTCCTCTCCTCCTCCTCCTCCTTCTCCTGCTTCTCCTCCTTTTCTCCCTCTCCGTCTCGAACTGTCTCTCTCTCTTTCTTCGCTGTCCTTTTCCCTTCCGCGTCTCCCTTTCCGTCTGTCTGTCTCCTTTCTCTTCTGCGTGTTGTAATCCCTTTTGCGAAACTTCTTGCGCCCGGACGAGGCGGCGAGGTAAAAGCGAGCGCGCTGTCGATCGTGAACTGAGGGAGAGAGAGAGAGAGAGACAGGTTAAATTCGCACGCGAATACCGCACGTCGAGTCCTTCCACGGTGGTGGTGCACTACCGGGATGCCACTTGATGATAATGATGATGATAATGATAATGTTGACGACGACGATGACGATGAAGACCACTCTCTAGCAACTCCGGAAATGAATTACCGGTGGGATACCAACGACTGTGACCTTGAACATTCGCATTTCGTGCTGGACGGAGTGAAACGCGCGCGGGACCGGTCACTTTCCATCATTCTTTTTCGTTGTCAGCGCCGAGTCGCTCGCGACCGAGATTCAATCACTCCCGTTTTCGCGATCCTGGGTCCAACTATCTAATGATGAAAAACTCGTGATTACTTTTATACGAGCTGATACACCTCTGCAAACGCAAGCGTGCGAACGAAATGCGCGAGTATATTTCGCGAAGTAGCAGACTAGAAAACGTTGTTACGCAATGAACGAAGCACCGTTCCTCTTCTCTTTTCTCTTCTTATTCTTTCCTTAGCACGCCCTCTTCGACTTCTCCGGAACAGTAGATCCTCCGCATCGGCGAAACTTCTCGTCAAGGGCGCCGGAGGGGAATCCGCGATCATGCGAATCTGGATGCACGCACGAATACACACTCTCACTGTTTCGTGATATCTCTCTCTCTCTCTCTCTCTCTCTCTCTCTCTCTCTCTCTCTTCAGGAGGTAGAACAAAATGGGAAAGTCATCGGAGAAAGACAGATAGAGAAAGAGAGAGGCAAGAGATATTCGGTGGTACCCAGCCTACAGGAGGCAAGATCGAATTTTAACGCGCGCAATACGCGCTGCCGTGAGTTGTAGTCGACGGTTTCAACTTTTACTTTCAGCTCTTACACAACGCGGCC